TAACAACATTTACTTTGTAATGAGAATAATAGTTGAAACTAATCGTAACCACACTAAAATGTGTTTTCAATTGTACTCAAGAATATGTAAAAACATTCCATATGATTTTCACATCAAATAGTGAACCTTCTCTACTCGTTCTTGAAAGCTTACTTTTAAAAACTAATTTTTCCTGTATTTTTGAATTTCCATCATTATCATGAACTTCCCTTGTTGTACTATTTGAAAGATTTGGGAAGAATACTCATAGTATCTGAAATATTCAGAGGTAAAACCAAACTTCTATTATCTTTAAACTAGACCATAAAACATATGGTTCGTATAGGCTACTGTTTTCATATTTTAACTCTTGTTTAGTATCTTGTAGAAATGACTTGTTTATTTGCTGGTGCGTTTATATCAGTTTAAAACTGCTCATTTGTAAAACAAATACTGTGAGCCCTTTAGAATAGATTTACTGAAGCTTTTGTTGGTATCAGTGTCAGTCTGTTAAAACAGTTACTCCCAAACTGTTATTTATTACTGAAAAATGAAGCTGTGAGTTAAATTAAATAACAATATTAAAGCTGTACCTTATGTTGAAATTTAGGCCATATTGTAACTTTTGTTATGTTGGAAATGTCTAAATATAGTTAGTTAAATGAATAATATTGTAGTTATTATTTATATTGTGACTTAGTGTGAATATTCTTAGTTAAAAAAGATATCTGAGTCTTATTAGCAGCATTGAAACTGTTTATGTGTGGATGTAGTCTGGATATTAGTTGTTGGGAATAGCAGCATTGAAACTGTTTATGTGTGAATGTAGTCTGGATATTAGTAGTTTGGAATAGCAGTGTTGAAGCTGTTTATGTGTGAATGTAGTCTGGATATTAGTAGTTTGGAATAGCAGTGTTGAAGCTGTTTATGTGTGATGTAGTCTGGATATTAGTTGTTTGGGAATAGCAATGTTGAAGCTGTTTATGTGTGGATGTAGTCTGGATATTAGTTGTTGGGAATAGCAGTGTTGAAGCTGTTTATGTGTGAATGTAGTCTGGGTATTAGTAGTTTGGAATAGCAGTATTGAAGCTGTTTATGTGTGAATGTAGTCTGGTATTAGTAGTTTGGAATAGCAGTATTGAAGCTGTTTATGTGTGAATGTAGTCTGGGTATCAGTAGTTTGAATAGCAGTGTTGAAGCTGTTTATGTGTGAATGTAGTCTGGGTATTAGTAGTGTGACATATCAGTGTTCAAGTTAGTTTACGGTCTTTCCCTCCAAATTGTTCAAATAACAGTGAATGCTAAAACTGTTTGATTTCCAGATGAACAGGAGCCAGTGAAAGGAATAAGTCTTGCAGAGATGTAAGTTATAAATTTGTCAGATAAGAAAGTTTTAAACCTAACAGTAAGTTTGTAGATATATGAAATAGTAAAAATAGAAGTATCAGTCATCTACTTTTTTGTCAAACTTAGATTCCTTTGAAGGGAGGTTTAAGCTTTAATGGGTTTTTTTTGTTTAATGTTTTTGTTATGTTAAATTTTCAGGTTATTTTTAGACCTGTGTACTACTGCTTAATGAAAGCCATACTTTTATGATCAGTTTTCTCATTTAACTAAAATATACGCGTTAGATTAAATATTAACGTTCGTAGATGCCACTTACTTATAACTTCATTCTCAAACTAAAATCCAGAAAATGTATGCTTGTAAGAATATTAAATTTGTTCAGTAGTTTCTTCTACACTAATCATCATTCTATGTTCTTTGCTAGTTTGTTTCGGTACACAGAACCTTTCAAGACGTTCTTCACGAACCTGCTGAGTCCAGAGTACCGAGTGACAGTGGACGTGTATGCCTTTATGTTTTTCTGTGATTTCATTAATTTCCTTATCGTGGTATTTGGATACTGGGCATTTGGTGTAAGTTAGTATTTTGTTTAACAGTTCTATTTCCTGTATGTTCTTTTCTGTTATCTTAATCTTCATATTTTTATGTCACTCTCTTATGACATAATTGGTACAACTTGTGTTACCTCTTCTGTATGTTTACTTATCTTGATATCTGTTAGTCTAAATTGCCAACGGAATATCTAATACATTTTTTGTTACTTTTCTGTGGTGAAGAAAAAGATAAGTTAGTCTTTAAAATAAAAGCACTGATTGTTTTGTTTTCGTTCATTAACAATTCAAACGGTTATGTGTAACAGAAAAATAAAATATTCGTGATGTTAGAAAAAACACGTAGGTTCAAGAAGTCTTGATAGAAATTAATAAAAAAAAAACCTATAACCTGAGCACTTTCAAAACGGGTACCTTTCTTCTTCAGGGACAAACTTTTGAAAGCGCTCAGGTTATAGTTTTTTTTATTAATTTCTCTCAAGAAAAATAAAATACATATTGATTAACTCTTATTTTTGTATAGCATACTTTAAGTTGGATAAA